AAACCGAGTAAATCTAAACAAACGAATATCGGTACCGTTGTAGCTGGATCTGTTCAAGCTATCATCGGTGTCCTATACAAAGACAAGGCACGTATTTTCCCTCTTCGATATAATGTAGCCTCATCCACAGCAACATCTAAGATTATTAAAACCTTATTGTTTTGAAGGGACCTCAACACACAAAAAAATTCATCCACGATCATATCTTATCCAGAGAAGTTGATATGCAAGACATCATTCAAATTAACGATGTAAAAAGAGAGTTACATGCTTTAATGAGAAGGAAAAACCAAGAGCCCCCAATCGCTAGGTATGCTACCTTCACATGTGTTGCTTAGTTCCACAGGTAATACTAAACAATAATGCTTTAATAGGCTAAAAGGCGAAAGTGGTGCGCATTCCGGTGCTCCTGTTTTCGTTGTCGGAGTTTATTCAGATGTTGAAAAGTTGGGCGAAGGATTTGGAAGCTCGAAGGCAATGGCCGAATTCAGGGTAGGAAAATTTTGCTTCCTTATTTCTAGTCACGGTCAGACTTAAACTCAAGACTTATTTTCAACTGAAATAGGCATTTAAAGATGCTTTGATGAAATATTACTTGACAGAGGTCAAAGATTTTACATTACCATCCACAATTAATACACCTGAAAAGCAAATTAGTTATATTCCAACAATAGTCGGAGATACGCCACCAAAACTATAAAATTAAAAAATTAGTCAACGTGAAACAATATCAAAATAAGATTACAAATATACAATAAGTAAAACTGGTTAAAACTCATTGAACCTATCTAAAAAATTATTCTCGATATCTCAAATTGTTGATTTTAGTCAAAGTTTCCTAATGACGCACTCAATTTACAGGAAAGCAAATATATTATATATAAACATCATTAATAAAAATAGTGTTGCCAATTATATATATATTTTAGAAAGTTTGGTTATTGATTGATGTTAATGTTGATTACATGATGATGAAATCTTATATTTACACTTAAAACGTTAAATTGAAAATTCAAGAAAGTCCATTGTTTTTGGTTCCATGCAAATCTTCATCTGCATACGAGACCTGACATTAAATCAATTATATCGCATTAATTGTAAGTAGAAATTTTAAGGACCTGCCTTTCTAATCAATTTATATAAACGCACGCGACCTTCCCCTCTTCCAGCAATCCTTGTCCAATCAAGTATTGTTGCAGACTATCCAACAGTTCAATTTGTTCTTGCGGTTTCAGAGA